ATGCCAGCAGCTGTGACACCTCACGCACATTGACCACCCCGAACCTCCACCCAGCGTACGGTCACGCTCTGCCGTCTGGGGTACCGACCAGCCCCCTCCCGACGTCACCGCAGTCCGGTGCAACAAACACCACCTCACCTCGCGGGAGACCGGCAGGACCTGGCGGCGGGAGCACCTTCTCGTGCGCGGGTCTTCTCCTCCAGCGGCAGCACCACACTGTAGTCACGCCGACCCACTCAGAGGAGAGAGGCGGACATAAGCGTCACGCTTCAGCACAGCGCACAGTTTACGCCGTCACAGGCTTGCAGCGCACAGTTTACGCCGGCCCCAGGCTTACAGCGCACAGTTCAGGCCTCACGGCCTCAGGGCGACGCCGGCCGCGCACATCCGCACGAAAAGAAAGGCAGCAGCACGCTGTGGCGACCTTGGCCGGTACGCAGGGGCACACGCACGCAGTAGGTCAGAGGTCACTTTCACGTCTGTCGTGATGTGCGGCACTTGACTCGGTCTCAAATGGGCGTCAGGTCATTGCTATCATGCCACATAAATAATGATCATAATACATATTTGGCACAGAAAAGAGAGTACTTCATTTTCGAGGGAACATGGTGGATGCTGCGAGGACTGTTCAACATTTGTATAGGGTTTGGATTTAGATAGACAATTTGAGCATTTTCAATATCATTCCTCTCATTTCCGAGCCATGTGCAAGCAAACGCGTGCAGACTTTTTCGTGCCGCCCAAATGTAACTCACTCAGAGATGTATGACGTCATAGAAACGCCACACGAATTCCGCCTTCTAAATGGCCATACTGTGTTCAAGGTCGAGCGAATTTGACTTCTGATGTATCCGTGCCTGGTGTAAGTCAGCCCGAATCGTCACGTCACCGGACATAAATTGGCTTCCAATCTGCGATAAGACGCGCCCAGGTGGCCGGTTGTATACCCTTCGCTCGGGCGAGGGTCAATTTAACCTAACCTAATCAATTTTGCCCTCAGATCCCAGGAGCTAAGGGAGATAGAGACACCAGGTTCACAGGATGTCTTAAGCTGTACGTGAACTCACTTAGATCAAAGTTTGAGGTTCCTAGGTCATGACCTGCGGGTCAAATAAGGCAAACACATTCAAATTCATGGTTTTTCTCGAAAGGGCTCCTAGAATGGAAATAACTGTTGTAAGCAAAATGCCACATGCTCATGTTAAGTCATAAACCTTTTTTGACCTTTTGAAGGTCATGATGACCAAAATCATACAAGACCACTCTGAGTTTTGCATTTGGATAAGCGATAAAGATTACGTTAGGCAGTATGTTCCTAAAAACGAAGTGTTGACCCGGGTCATTCTAGGCTAGTGACCTATTCTGACCTTTAAGAAGTCCATGGAAAGTGTAAAATGCAGCTCCTGAAATCAATAAATTAGAAATGAGCGCTAGAAGCGACCACATCCAGCAAGCTCTAGAGTAATAAAACAGGCCGGTTTCGACCTTGTTTTAACCTTCATACCTGACCTTAGGCAAATATAATTTGTTCATTCAATTGTTGTGTTGCCTAAGAAAAAATCTCAGAGATGTATGGCTTCGTATAACACACCGTTGTTGGATCAGATTGAACGATTCCCTAGAAATTTACTTCGCTGAAACCATGGCCTGACTTTGACCTGCCATGGGTCAGCGACCTTACAAGGTAGGTCTAACTTTTTGATGCCAGACGATCTGCTATTTGATTGCATACAGCTGTGCAGAATTTGGCGGCTACGCCAGACCGTTCGAAAACCATTCTGGAAAAACCTTCGGGGGGGGGGTCAATTTGACCCCCACCCCAGAGCGTGTCAAATGCAAGTTTTAAACGAATAAGTTGAGCATCGAATCACGTGGCCAAAATGACGTATTGGGGAGCGTATGCAAGGAATAGAGAATTTATGCTGTCAAGAGCACTCTTTAGCGCTTAAAAGCATACCAACAGTTACAAGCGAGTTTGTCCCTCACGTCTGATACTTCCCGCAATATCTTCAGATGGCAACAGCCCCTATAAGTAGACTGGAAATGATTTCATTGCAAATACGTTATTAAAATGTGCTGGAAGCATCGAATTCTTGCGCACACAAAATATTCAGTATAATTTATTCAAAATGGCATGTTGACGCATTCCAAAATCAAGTCCAAGCACGCCTACCGTGGGCGTTACACACAACAGTCATCGGCCAATCCCAGTCTGTCTCGACCCTGTATGTGTCGTTATCGTAAACACGACAAACTTGGAATGTATTCCAAAAATATGCATCGCAATCGAATCGCTATCAACTTCAGGAGCGAGGTCATATAGTAGGCCATGATAAGGGTGTGGTGGCAACATTCCTCGTGTTGTGTGATCAATCAATTTCAGTTTAAAGCGTTAACACGCGCTCGGGCGGGAGTCAAACTGATCCCCCCTCCCGAAGGTTTTCTAGAGTGGTTTCCGCACAGCGCGGCGCAGCCACGCCAAATTTTGCATAGCTGTAGACAATTGAATAGCGGATCAGTTGGTATAAAAAATTAGATGTGCCTTGTAAGGTCGCTGACCTATGACAGGTCAAATACAGGCCATGGTTTCAGCGAAGGCAATTTCTAGGGAATCCTTTAATCTGGTCCAACAGCGGGGTGTTGGACGAATCCATACCTCTCTGAGATGCTTTCTTAGGCAACACAACAGTTAAATGAGCAAATCAAATTGGCCTAAGGTCAGTTATGAAGGTCACACCAAGGTCAAAACCAGCCTGTTTTGTTACTCTAGGGCTTGCTGTATGTGATAGTTTCTGGTGCTCATTTCGAATTTATTGATAGCAGGAACTGCATTATACATCTGTCATGGACTTCTCAGAGGTCAGAATATGTTATTGACCTAAAATGACCGAGGTCAACATTTTGTTTTAGGAACGTACTGCCTAGCGTAATCTTTGTCGCTTGGTGAAATGCAAAACTCAAAACAATTTTGTATGATTTTGGTCACCATGGCCTTAAAAAGGTCAAACATGGTCACCGGCCTTGAATGAGCATGAGACCTTTTGCTTAGAAACGGTTATCTAGATTCTGGGGGCACTTTGGAGACCAACCTGGAACTTAACCTTGTTTGACCTTTTTTGACCCAAAGGTCATGACATAGAAATCTAAAACCTTGACCTAAGTGAGTTCACGTACAGGTCAACACACCCTGTAAATTGGGCGTGTCTAGCTTTCTTAGTTCCCGAGATCTCAGGGGGGTGAAATTGACCCCCACCCGAGCGAAGGGTATCTAGCCGGCCACCCGGGCGCGTGTTAAGCCAGCGTGTCATTACATGAACAAGACATGTCATATAAATGACGCAATGACCTCCCATTTCATGCAGGTTGACGAACTGAACCCGGTCGAAAGCACTTTGCAGACGATTGAGGAGTCTTTCGGCCTTAGTTCGAGCACAATTGTCACGACCAACGACAACCACAGCATGTGAATTCAAGCCCTCCAACGCCTACTCGATGTCGCCGGTTCAAAACAACCGGTGTGTTGAGAACACCGCAGCTGGCGCTCCATCAGTGATCTGGTCCACGCTCGGACACCAGCACACCCTCCAGCGGCTGTGTGCTAAACGGGCGTCGACTCTCTGCTCCGCCACTGGCGTCGTGGCTGGCGCTCATCGCTGACGCTGTGACTGGCGCTCACTAGTGACGCTGTGACAGGCATTCACTGCTGGCGCTGCTGCTAAAGCTCACCACTGGTGCTGCGAATGGTGCTCACCGCTGGCGCTATGGCTGGCGCTCACTAGTGACGCTGTGACCGGCGCTCACTGCTGGCGCTGTGACTGGCGCCCACTGCTGGCGCTGCGACTGGCGCTGTGACTGGCGCTCAATAGTGACGCTGTGATTGGCGCTCACCGCTGGCGCTGCGACTGGCGCTCATCGCTGGCGCCCACTAGTGACGCTGTGGCTGGCGCTCACTGCTGGCGCTGTGGCGGGCGCTGTGGCTGGCGCTGTGGCTGGTGCTGTGGCTGGCGCTCACCGCTAATGCTGTGGCTGACGGCGAGGTGCCTCCCTAGTCAGACCGTACGGCACCTTTGTGGCAGCCCTGACACCGCACACCGATCAGAGATGTATGAGCTTTTGATAAACGTTTTGTGTGCCATCACCATGTAGTGCCACGAATTGCCCAGTAGTTTAAACCAATGGAAGGGTGGAAGAGCACCAGCTTGAGCAGGTTAGATGCATTTGCCACACATATTTCAGTCAACACAATCCAGTAATAATCATATGGCTTACATGTCTCACATATGTGTAGATCCTGGCTCACTTCAGTCACTTCACATCCAGCTCCCGTGAACCAGCTAACTCGCGGCCGCACCCGGCCAACCCTGCCCGAAGTCCCCGACCACTCTGGCCCGCACGCGTGACCTCGGTCAGGTCACGTGGTCCATGGCCCGGAGGCATGAGCACAGCCGGCCGCGCCGGTTAGACGCTATCAGGGGCTGCTGAATGTCGGTCCTTTACTGCCGGAGCCCATTATTAATGTCCTTTTACACATCTTAAAATGCATCCCACGAACTCAAAGAGATGTTACTTCGCGAATTTCAAGTCAGTAAGTAAGTGAGTCGGGGCGATGGCTGTGTTATTTTGATTGTTGTAATAAATGTTGAAATGGTTTACAATGGGGTACCGAAACATAGCAAATAAATCTTACGAATGCGTGTGCTTTAACTATACCGGATGAAGCCTTAAAGTGACCTATACCTTAAGATCTCAGCTTAGATTTAGCAAACCCAGTGAAAGATAATATGTTTGAAATCCCGAAACCTCTAGACCAGGAGACACCCCGGATCGTGCCCATTATATCCTCGCTGATGTGCACATTTCCCTGCACGATTTGGTACAAGTGAACAGGTTAATGTACTTGACTCAAAGATGATTTACTACTATGTCTAGTTGATGATACCTCTAGACGGACTGCAATGGCCTCTAACGTGATCTTTTTCCCATACCAGCAGACCAAAAAGATGGCTTGCGAATACCGGATGAAGCGGATCTACCAGGGCAAAGTGAAGGCAGTCATCTTTGACTGGGCAGGTGAGGACCTACGGTAGCAAGTTGAGATGACCGTGCCTAACGTATTAAGAGGAGTGACAATCGGGATGTAGCCTGGGGGGGGGGGGGGAGGGGGGCATAGGCTTATGGCCTCCACCAAAAGGCAATACGTTAACGCTATGCACAAGTAATTTTGCAAGAGCTTAGCTGGAACTCGCAAAAGTTTGCCAAAAAATTACATTTGCCCCCTCCCCATGTGAGGAAGTACCAGTGTGACAATGACCAGGCTCAGACTGATAACAAAGCAGATGCAGCATGCTGCATTGGAGGATTATGTGGAAATAACACAGAACCTCAAAATAGTACTTCCCGTCATCTTTTTCGAAAGGAACAAGTTAACAACCCCCTCTTATAATTGAGCACCAGCTCTACACCTTCGTCATCTCACATATTGTAACTTGTAGACTCACCTAGAAAGACGTTCCAGGTTTATGATCCTAATGGCCGTACTGTGCAAGGTGCTGGATGGCGGTGATCAACACTCTTGCCGTCTGGTCTTGCAGGCACGGTGGTGGACACGGGTGTAATGGCGCCAGCCCTCACGTTCCGCTCCATCTTCGAGGAGGAGGGAGTGGAGGTCTCCGACGAAGAGGCCAGGGGGCCCATGGGCATGCACAAACGGGTGAGAGCATACTTGGTTCAGCCGGCTGCAGCCTTTTCCCATGTTTATCACATTCATCTACTTATTTTGGCAGTTTTGAAAGTGATTTGTACTGTGAATCATCGCCATACGTCACGCAACTTCACCTTTCACCGTGATCCATCCTTGTCACACCTGGTACCAATCTTCAAGAAGAGCTTGACGACTTCGTGTTTCACGAATTCGATGTGCACACGAACCTACGTTCGTGTACTCGTGTACTCATTGTACCGGTGTACTCATGAACGCATCGTGTACTCATTCCCAACACCTGCCCCCATGTCCGCTCGCCGGCATGGGCGACATGGACGCCTGCGGCCCGCAGCGCGCGTCATCGCCTCCGTCTACCGCGAGCTGAGTCCACACTCCACCCGGCAGACGCACATCGAGAAGATGCTGGAGATGGGCGGCGTGCGCTCCCGCTGGCTGGCCAAGTTCGGCCGCGCGCCCAACGACGACGACGTCGACCGCATGTACGCCAAGTTCGTGCCCAAGAACATCGAGGCGCTGGCGAAGCACGTGGACGTGATCACGGGCGTGCCGCAGGTGGTGGCGGCGCTGCGCGAGCGCGGCGTCAAGATAGGCTCCAGCACTGGCTTTGTCCGGCCCATCCTCGACAAGCTGATGGTGAGCGGCGACTGGGGCTGAGGGTAAGCTGCGAATGGTGCCGGTGGTGAGATGCGGCTGGTGCTGGTGGTGATGCTGATGGTGAGCTGTAACTGGTCCTGATGATGAAATACGGCTGATCCTCAGTGTGAGTTGCGGCTGGTACTGAAGGTGAGCTGCGGCTGATGATGGCAGTGAGCTGGAGCTGCTGCCCGAGGTGGGGGAGATTGAAGCAAGACTAGGGTGTTGATATTTAATGCTATCGGAATGTCACAAATACATGATCACGGATTCATAGCACACTCACAGAGACACTTTTGCCAGCAATATGATTTAGGCGGGAATGGCACTGCAGCTACCATCATGGCCCGGAATACTTGAGCCGGTGTCCTTCGAGGGCCTGCAGTCAATCACTAGTGCGATTCCGTGCAGGACTTCTCCGGTGTCCTCGGAGCTGTGTGTTAGTTACCAATCATTGAAATCGGTGGCAAGAGGCGCTTTTGAACCCATTGATCGCAAGTCCGCCAGCATTTCCAAACTTTCGGATAACAATTATCTTCGGACAACGACTTGATGTCCCAGAGAACCGCTAGGTTGGGTAGCTCGGAGAGGTCCCATCGGATTTATTCCAACAGCGACATTTTGCGGCCGCTTGATTGAGACCGTGTTGGCCGCCAGTTAAAAGAAACCGACTGAGGGTTGAAATCGTCTCCGATGGGAAATGCATCGCAGAGTGATCACTAAGTTTGGTTCGACCGAGAGCTGCTGCTTTACTGGAAGTGACGATGTTCTTGGCTCTGCTGGAGGGTCGCTTCGAAGGTGAAGGCTTGGCCGGGAGATGCAGGTCATTTCAGTCCATCTCCCTCACCCAGACATCGCCTTGGGAATTCGATACACTGTCTCTAGGCTTTTGGGCGGCTTTGCATGTTTTTTGAGCAACGTCGCCTAGTTAATGCGCTTAGAAAATGCTTTCTAGTCGTTTTGGTGAATACTGACGTCCGCCGGCAAGTTTCTCTCCATGCTTCTACTCAGTGCGCGTCTCGGTTTCGCCGCCCGTGTTTCGGGCAGTCTTCACCACAGTACCACCTATTGAGTGACGGGACGTCAGAACCTGAGTTCCTTGAATGTTGTAAGGCTTAGAGAATGCCCATGGTGCCCAACAACCAGAGCTTTGGCGAGAGTTCGAAGAACTGCAATGCTTGTGGGGCTCATGAATGTTCGTGATGTGTTGCGTTTATATGCCATTGTCCAACCTTTTAAAACCCTTCCACCTTAAATCCAGTGCACCCACACATGGGAGCTACCATGAAATGCAGGTCATTTTTGCCCGATCCAGATGATATCTCATGAAAAACTTGCCAGTATTTTCAAACCGGCCTAACATATCAAGGAGTCGCAATAACGTAAGAATCTGAAAACTATGGGGTACAAAATGAGTGTGGAACTTAATGTGATGTCTTCAGACACATGCACAGTTTCCCAGAATTACAGAAACATTTTCAACATATCTCCGTGCCGCCAGCCCATCGCCAGCCGGTTGGCTACACCCCGGACGAGACCGTGACGTTCAGACGCTGTCTCCGTGCCGCCAGCCCATCGCCAGCCGGCTGGGCTACACCCCGGACGAGACCGTGACGTTCAGACGCCGTCTCCGTGCCGCCAGCCCATCGCCAGCCGGTTGGGCTACACCCCAAACGTGACCGTGACATTCAGACGCCGTCTCCGTGCCGCCAGCCCATCGCCAGCCGGTTGGGCTACACCCCGGACGTGACCGTGACGTCGGACGAGGTGCCGGCCCGCACGCCCGCTGCCGCACATGGTCTGGCTCAACGCCATCCGGCTCAACGTCAGCGCCATCGAGGCCGTCGTCAAGGTGGACGACACAGTCGACGGCATCCGCGAGGGCCTGGCCGCCGGCTGCTGGACCGTCGGCGTCGTCAAAACCGTGAGCAGAGACATCTCGCGAGCAGCAGACGAAGTGCAGTTTTGTAAGAGATGGCATGCGTTGCACGCGGGAGTCAAGGCTCCGGTGCAAGCAGACTAAATGGATAAAACCTCGCAGAGTTACATGCCATTCATTGGATATTTCCTCGAATTCCATCCAGCTGCCCTACAAAAGAAGACATAAGTTAGGGGTAGCAGAACCACTCATGCTTAGTACCCGTGCTTGCAGCAACAGCCACATGCCACCGGTACGTGAACACGCGTTTTAAGCTGATGTGAGATGTGGAGAGGTGCGGAGACTATGTTCAAGTTCGGGGAAACAAACTCAAAAATGTCAACATGGGTCCCCTAAGATCAGAAAGTTGGCCCTATACAGCTCAGAATGGGTCGCATGAGGATCAGAGTGGGCCTTCTGCAGGACAAACTAGGCCCGCGGCAGTCAGTAATGGACCCTTTACAGTTACAATACAGTACTTTACAGTTTAGGATGGGCCCACTACAGGTCAGAATGGGGCTTCTACAGGTCATAATAGGGCCTCGTTAGGCCAGAATGGGCTCTTCACACACCAACACGGGCCATCTACATGCCTGAATAAGCCCTTCTACAAGCTAGAGCGGGCCCTTCATAGTCAATAATGAGCCTTTTACACGTCAGAATAGGCCCTCTACAGGCCCAGGAATGCCCTCAGAATAGATGGTCAGGATGGATCCGAAAAAGGGCAGATTGAGCCCTCGACAGATCAGAATGGACTTCTACGGGCTTACATAAACCCTTCACAGTTCAGAATCGGCCCTCCACATACCAGAATGGTCCCTCCACGGGACCCCCAAGTTAGGTGACCGCCGGTTACAGGCTTACTAAGCCCTTAGCAGTTCAGAATCGGCCCTCCACATACCAGAATGGTCCCTCCACGGGACCCCCAAGTTAGGTGACCGCCGGTTACAGGCTTACATAAGCCCTTAGCAGTTCAGAATCGGCCCTCCACATGCTTGACCGGGCCCTCTACAAGATCTCCAAGTTGGCGACCACCAGCTCCAGTTTTCTCGCTGGGGGAGGGACAAGCTGCCCCCACTATCCCTTCGATTGCTGCGTCCTTGAAGAGGCGATGCCCTCTCGTTGAATGAATGGGCGTTTGCATACCGGGAAATGATGTAAGACATGACATTGCCGAGTGAGAGCCAAGCGTGTATCTTGTCCGTGTATATAATGCATAATATATTGGCAGTGCTGCAAGGTGAGTACATATATACCTTTAATTAAAACACTGCAATGCCACACGTAACTTGTCATTAACAGTACTACTCACCTTAATGTTTATTCGTGCAAGCGTAGACAAATAAGTTGAACGTGCAGGCGTCGGGAGTGGCATGCTCCTAAACACCATGCCACCAGGAAATTTACTCCGAAACATTGCCTTCTGGCGGATCGTGTCTCGAGCCAGCAGTTCATAGCAGCTTTGCTCTATGAAAGGTTCGTGGGTCGGCTGCCTTGTGACGCGGTTGGTGGCGTCCCTTGACGCGCCCTCTCTACTCCGCTCCGCCCCAGGGTAACTACGTGGGCGCGTCGGCGCCACAGCTGGCTGTGATGCCGCAGCCGGAGCTGAAGCGGAGGATGGCGCGAGGCTATGAAATCATGACCGACTGCGGCTGCCATTACGTCATTGACGCTGTGGCAGACCTGCTGCCCGTCATCGATGACATCGAGCGCCGCCTGGCGGCCGGCGAGAAGCCCTGAGGGCGAACCCCGACTCTGGTCGCAGTGTAATCAGCGTCGGCCAGGTGCCATGGTGCTGCCTCTGATGAGAAACTCTAGTGCTGGGCCGATAGGAATCCGAATCATCAACCACCAGGAAACCAATAAAAAGACGCTGAAAACAATGCGTTTAACTTGGAACCATAACTGCGCTGACAACGAATCAGTTCGTCTTTGACGTCATAGTAGCCGCTGTCGTCATGCAGGGAGCTTTCCTTTTTCGGTTTTGGCCGCTAGATTTTCAGTGGCTTACCCGTTCGTCCCTGTGAAGTACTGCACATGAATGCCTGTCTGATGATGCCAGAATGCCGTCACCAACATAAGCAGTTTGACACGTGTAGCTGTCTTTGCAACGCAAGCGGCAACGGTGAACAGGCTTTTCAAGCTACGAATTTGCGACTGTCTCGTTGTAGGAGTTGATTTAAGGCTTAGTGGGCCAGGGCTTTGTGTAGAAAATAGACAGTCTGAAGAAATGTCGGTTAGTCGGGTCAGTGTTAAATACAGTCTGAAGAAAAGGTTTTCCAGAACGGAAACGGGATAAAGAAGCACCAGAGGGGTGCATATCCACTCCATCCAGCTGTCGGTAGCCAATCTTTTCTCTGGCTCCGCGCCAGAACAGACTTAAGTGCTGGCTGCACCGCCTGGGGCCGGCGTTAAAAACGAACAAACTCAGCTCTTCCCAGAATTGATGTGGCCTCGATATGAGAGCGTTATGCAACATGTCGAGCCAAGCGGGCACTCTCCAAACCTCCAGGGCAGCCACGGCTTCGATTGGACAGTCATATAAACGCTGTGATGTCGCTGACGCCTGGCCTCCTTCCCATCAGCACGAGCTGCCGCTGACTAGGCTATCCCGAAGAGACGGCAAGCCACCCGAAGTACCAAAGGAAATAATAACGGCCAGAAAGGAAATGTCAGTTCAATAAGCGCCTACAGGTTAACGTCAATGCGTGATAAAAATTATTTGTCGAGTTCATGCTGTATCGGCCAATGATGATGGCCGGCAAAAAAAGAACACAGGCCGACGGAATAAGCCCTTGAACGCAAGCGCTTTTAGTGCCACCTGACGGGAAAACGACGAACGAAGCCAGCATGTCGACATAGGTGGCGCTTGGTGAAGGGTGGAGGGTCGGGCGAGCTGCCTGACCTTTGGATTTGGGCTTGTCGTTACTGCCCAATACAAGTAGGGCCGGCTGTGGGATGAGGTGGTGCAAAGTTAGCTAGCACAGACTATCTACTATAAGCGGCCGTAGCCTGCCAAATCTACCAGTGTCGCACCCAAGACAAGTATTATCGGCTATGGGCTGAGGTGGTGCAAAGTTAACTAGCATAGACTAACTTCTATAAGCGGCCACAGCCTGCCAAATGTACCAGCGTCGTACCCAAGACAAGTATTATCGGCTGTGGGATGAGGGGTGCAAAGTTAACTAGCATAGACTAACTTCTATAAGCGGCCACAGCCTGCCAAATCTACCAGTGTCGCACCCAAGACAAGTATTATCGGCTGTGGGATGAGGTGGTGCAATGTTAACGAGCATAAACTAACTACTTGGTAATTGGCGTGTCTGTGCAGATGATTCACAGGCAACATTTAGCGAGGGCTCAACAGCGTAAGGTTGCAAAGGAGGTCACATTTATCCAAGCAGAAATAAATGTATCGCACTTTCAACCACTGTGACACGAACATTAACTTGTCGTAAAGGATAACATCATCCTTACGGAGGTGCATGTCCATAACTTTGAACAAAATCCTGGTGCCACGCCTTGCGGTGCTACTCGACATTTTAATCTTATGGATGCTTGGACAGTGCACAAAGTGAGCAGAAGCATGGCAACGCAAGGCAAATATTAGAATAAGTGCTGGTGTGGAAGGTGAAATCCATTCACAAGAGGACAAACATACTATTGGCTGGGAATCCTAAATCCCGCCATGTCACTCATATATTTTTTGTGAAAAGCCCCAAAAGGTCGGAAGCTTAAAGTTTCACTAAAGGCATAATTGTTTCTTCACTAATACATAATACAATAAGATAACTTCAATAACAATAACACAGACCAAAATGTGATGCTTATACCCGAACATTTCCATGCTTCGACCGCATGTGGCACATACTACATGAGGCAAGCTACACTTTGAGATAAAGCTGTCCTTCCAGATTACGGATCACAATTCCGGTATGTCTCCTGGAACATGAGGTAAGTACACCGACCGAGTCAAATAAGCCACCATTTGATTGCTGAAAATGAATGTGGGCCTGGAATGCAACCGCATGATCTTTAGGCCGGAGTATATATTTTCTGGTAAATACATGCGATGAGTAAAACAATACGTGACACACTTAAATGGCATACCTATCAGAATAAATCATCATTGTTTGCATTGCTCTGCTCTTTGCGTGAGCACCACGCGGTTCAATGTTTCCTGGTAATCACCAAATCGAGCTTATTCTTGCGAGTAGCTACGAAACCGACGCTCACGATTCAGTACCAAAGGTGCGCCAATGAACACCGGCCAATAAAGTTGTAGAACTGCCTGGTGCACTGAGAAAGAAATTCAAGTATACCTTGAACATGCAGCCAGAAACGACGTAGGAAGATTCAAAACAAAGGTGGCGAAAATGCGCGATGACAGCAACCATCCGTGAATAATTTTGTCTTAACATACGGCCAGACTTAGTTGTATATTTTCAGGCCATCCTGTTGTTAGCGTAGGAGTTTATCAGTGGTGAAAATATGAAGCAAATATGAGGACCAACTTAGCTATTCGATTGCAAACTGCTGTTATGCATGCACATGTTTACATTTGTACATCCTGCCAGAACATCCCGAGGACATTAGAGGCCCTGAGCATGGGCGAATGGGCCAAGATTGCTAGAAAGCCCTATCCCTCCCACACGATCAGCACCTTTAATGCTTTATGCAATTCTGGGTTTACGCCTCATTATGTTTAACCCTCGTCGATGCAAACCCCTAAGACGTTTTGAGTATACCTCTCCAGAATGCCGTGCAGTCGCGACCAAATTTTCAGCAATCTTTGGAGCATCCATAGCGCGTGTTTTGACGCCAAAAGGGTGTTTCTAGCTTTTCTGGTTTCGGATCAGCGGCGGCTTTTCAGGGGCACTGCACAGCAATCTACGGCCCGAGCGGGCGGGCGGGCGAGCGGCGGCCGACAATGCCGCGGAGCGCGCGCGGCGTTCCGATATTACTACACCAATGAAGCTTTATATCATAAACATAAGCTCAAACCACATAAGATATACACTATGGTACTCAGAAGCAAAAAAAAAACACGTCTGTTAAGTTTTTACCGCCAAAAGTCATGAATTTTCTGTTAAATTAGACTTCTAACTTATTGTAACGGGATTAGTCATTGACCTAACAGTACGAAATCTAGTATCAATCGCGAGATCTCGTGGAAACCAATCAACTGGTGTTTTCCACTAAGCTTCATTTTCATTAGTTTGCAAGCACCAGCGGGTCGCATTTAAGTCCCCCCCCCCATATCAGCCCGTTATGTTCTGAAAAAGTTATGCAGTTATGAAAAACGGCAAATCAGGTCATGGATTAATAATGATGCTTGCTATATTTTGGCCCCTGCTGCCAGCTGAGACAGGTTATGTTCCCTCTTCCATTGTACATGTCTCCTCTGATGACTGCACAAACCATTGTGTATCTTTCCTGCCTGTGGATGCCATCAATTTCACCGAGAACATGTTTGGCAAAGAGAAATAAGCACGATGATTTTCTTGTTGATAAGTTGTGGATAATGTACGTGCGGTATATTTTAGAAGCTGATTGGTTCATTTATTCTGCTATGCAGTCTCGTTTACGTTGTTGACTTGGACATTTTGCTGTGGAGTAATAACAAAAATAGACAATGCCTTTTTTGATATTAATAAAAACTTGAATAACTTCGTAAATGTCATATGACAATTCTCCAACTCTCGCAGCCTTATCAACAGCATCCACCAAAAGGCTTGCGGGCCTTTAACTGACAGTGTGGGGGCGCGCGGGCACCAAAGTGGTGGAGCTAAATTCACAGCACGGTGCGAGACAAAGTTGCTGAGCCGACCATGTAGGTGGCGACCATAGGTTACTGCGGCCTGACATACATCTTAATAAAACAAACCGAAATAATCACAGAGCTTGGTAAATCGTCTCTATGAATTGTCTGCCTTTTTGTTAAGGTAGTCTCCTGTTCGTTCTGGTTCAGTTATGGATAAATAACTACGATCATAATTATGAAAAATATGACTGCGTTATGATGTTACTAGAATGGTGCTCACGAAATGACCATTTAGCGATTTCTCAAATGGCCACGCTTGAACAGCTCAGCTTATGCACCGAGTGTGCCAAATACCAGAGGTCCACCAATGCGATCCATCAGAGCACCTAGGGGTCTCATGATAATCATGATTATTAGTGTAACGGCTATGCCAGTGGCAGACCAACTAGGGACGCATGGAGACTTTTAAAACGTAATTTTTATCGTTGACAACATGTGTTAAGGCTCGTTATTCAAAGGTAAGTCGCGGCGGAAATAAGCGGCTGGTGTCGTCAAATTGTAAGCCTTGTTGGTGTTTTTAGTACAGGACATGGGTTCTCTCTTCTTTCCGCTTTCTTTGATTACGTTTTTCCATCATCGGCCGGACGAGCCTTTTCTATACGGATGTTTTTGCGTTGTGTAAAGCCAAGTGTCAACAGGTGGTCGGACAAAACCACATTAATTCCACAATGGTTTAGAAATAAATTGCGCAGAAACACTGCGCGTCGCCTGCCGAAGTTGTTCACGAGTGAATATATGCATGGTCAGCATGATCGCTTGAAGCACTTCCCGAAGTGTTTTAGCGTGCTGACGCGCGATCACCACCGGGTAAGGAGTGTCTCTGGACACATCAAGGGTAAACCCGGCGGCGCAATGCCGACATGTCGTTAAATGTGGACAGATCGGCTTGTTTACTTTTTATTCTTGTTGGGTTTGGGTCGCTTCCTAATTGCAGCCACACACGCAGCCTGCCAGCATACACGTGAATGAGAAGATGAACGAATAAATGCTCGAAGGATGTGTGGATGAATGAACCGAGGGATTAAAAACGCTCCAAGTCCTGTTCCAGTTGACAGGACCGCGGCATGGTTCGCCGCATTAATATCCCGGAAGCCAACAGCCGCCGGCCGTCGAACCAGATGCGGGTCTCGCAAAGGGACAGTGACATGCTTGACGCGGAAACCATGCGCAGCTGATGCAACCAAAAAGAATGACACGAGCCACCTGTCTGAAATGTTTCACAGGAACGGCTACCTGAAGAGTCTCATAGAGAAAAGCCCAGGATATCCGGACCCAAGAACGAAAAGCCTGACAGCGGATCGTCACTTCCAAAAAGCAGCCCTGCTGTCAGAGAATGTTGGAGGGATCTGTGGACGCCACGGCGTCAGAGCCGTCTTCCGAGGCCACACAACACTAGCGCGAGATATCGCCGAATTCAG